TGCTTAAATTGGAAAATTTACTGCAATGATCATTCTTCACTTTCATCTACAACCGCAGTGCAAATATGAATTATTTCATATATACTTCACATCATTAGTGAAACTGCATGTAGAGGTGCGAATATACCGGCATATCTAATTTTAATAACTATATCATTATGGCAAAATAGTTTGCTTCAGTAAGCAATGACATAACTACAAAATAAACATACATTTTTAAATCAAACCCTATAAAGGGGATTCTATTGCTGACCATACTCAGTACAAGCACGTGAACCATTAACATTTTATCCCAATCTTTTTAATTTCTGTTGTTTCCCCAATGGTGTGAGGTGGGACCCAACTTTTTAGTAAACAATAGGACTTGTACTAAAACCAGGAACACTGTTCGCAAGCTGGAACAACAAAACACATAATTTGGATCATGAAAGTTACATGCAAGTTAGGGTTAAATTAGGGATAAACGTTTAGTAGTTAGTAATTAGTGATCTGGGTTACATGTACAAGTGCATATTTTGACAGCATGTTCTGGTGTTTCAGGTTTGATGACAAGTTCAACCTCTTCCCCACATACACCCCTTGCCGATCTCCCTGAAATCTACAATGTAAATGAATGACAGGAAGGAGGTGGTGGGGGCTTTTCTTACAGCATCATATCCTCAAGATACCTTGTGTTTAACAGGAACCAACATGTCCAGTTCTGCATCAAGTACACAGATCAGTTCTTGTTGAAGAAATGGATAACTAACTCCTTCCTCAAGAGGACCATAAGTGTCCACTGCCATATTGTACAGCTCTCCTCCGGGTCTAAGCAGCTCGGATGAAATATCAAAATGCATCTCGCTTAATGCGTTGCATGACAGGCATCTGTACAGCCGACCATCAGCAACAGCTGATTTAGCTGCCATGGTAACTGTTTCTGGTTTAACGCCAACCATTCCAGATGGCTTGTAAACAAATTGGTGAACTTCAGTGACCAGCTGTGCAGCTATATTGTTTTTCTTGATGAAAAGGTCATCCATAGCTTTCACCAGTCTTTGCAAGTACTTTTCTTGTAGACAACGCTCCCCACCGATAAAACAGTGGCCGTGACAATCAAACTCCACGTACCGTTTGACAAGCTCATTTGGAATTCCCCATGCTTTGGGAATTAACCAGTCAGGAAGCTTGGGCATGGGTTTGCCTTTCACGCCGACAAGAGGAATGAAATGGTTGCGCCCTGAGCTACTCCAAGCCACGGCCAACGGTTTATTGAGAGTATTGTCTTTGCTTTTGCACTTCTCTTCTGGAATCAATGCAGGAAGGAATATGCCTGAGTAATCGCCACTAGACTGCATTCCCGTCACACTGTCAAGTAAGATGATTGGTCGGTGCAGCACATTGGCAAGGCCAAACAGATGGATGTTTCTCAACCCAAGCCCCTCTCCGGAGGATTCTGGAGGTTGGAAATATGGGTCTGCTTCCGAAATGATATCTTTCCATTCGTCATCGTGAATGAAATCTCTGAACAATCCTTTGTACTTGTGTAATTCGGTTTCAAGGTGGCTCTTTAGGTTGGCTCTTAGCGCGTGCCAAAAGATCTCTCTTCCAACAAGAGCGCGCGAAATCGCATGGACAAGACAATGGCCGTCGCCATCAACATGCACTGGAATGAGTCTTTCTTCGTTGTCGTTGACAACTTTTATCTCCTGTAGAGTTTTCTCAAGATACAAATGCGATCCTGTGTTATCTCGTCCATAGCCAGCCGTTTCCACGTGCTCTGACTCGATTTGGAATGCGCGATCTCCCAAAACAGCGCAGTCAAACATGGCACCTTGGCCCATTTCACTTAACAGTTTCCCCTCTCCTGTTCTTTTATCCATTCCATAGTGTGTTAGAAGCGGAGACAACAGCTTGCAGTGGTAGTTTGAATATCCTTTGACCTTCACCAGGTCTGGTGTGGTCTTAGAGGAAGCATGGCCCAGTAACACTGAACGTAGAAGACTTCGAAGAGCTATGTCGGGGTCTTGGATGTCTTCCACATTCAATAGACTGTCCTTCGCGTGGTGTTGACCGCAACCTGTGCATTCCACGCTTGAACTGGCGTAAGATGGAAAATAAAGTTTTGTACGGCACTCAGAGTCCGGGCAAATCCCGCTGTAAACTCTCAGCCCTCGCCACATCATGAACAGAAACAACAACAATGATAGAAGTAGATCCTGCTTCCGTTTTCTTTCTCACCCATCGTCCTTGCGCATGGCACGAGATCGCCTGGGAACAAGTCGGGCACGTGGCGTCGCTCTGAGAATCGTGGAGGCGACCCGCGGGGCCGGGAATTGGTTCCTCAGATAGGGGCGAAAAAAAATTTAAACCACGTCCACAAAACAGGATCGTCGTACCTCTTAAAATTTCCCACGAGCAACCCCGTCCTTTCTATTTGGGATTCCACCAAAGTTTAGGTTTCCAGTTATTCTCGGCAGTTACGCCAATAAACGAAAGCTTCTGGGAAAGTTTATTTTTAAAAGTGCATTTCATTTTTACTTTTCCCTGTTTCCGATCATTTTCAAACTAATCCTTGCTGGAGACCGTCTGCTACGCGGACCACATGGCCAGTGGATCATCTCGCGTTTCAGCAAAGCCGGGGAATAGTGTCAAGTGAGAAGTTAAGCTTAGAATAACAACTGAATAACAACACTGCTAGTCTCTACCACATTCTCACAATCACAAAATAATTCAGAAATGTCCAAATTAGAATTAATTGGACAGTTTGCAAAATTAACAATAATCGTGTGGACTCTTGTATGGGATTTTGGCCTGACAATATACATTATCCTCGTAATTTTCACGCTTCGCAAAAATCGAAGGACAGGCCTTAAAGCCTGGCATAATGAAGATGCACGGTCGTGCACTGGAAACAAGCCATTGAAATTATTCATAGAACGTTGTGCACTGAAAACTTTAAAACGGCTTAGAATTTGACAATTTCTGAAACTAAATAAGCTAGAAATAGATGTTTTATTCCTGTTCCGTTAATATATGAACAATTAGCATTTGATTGACTTTTGATTTCGTAAATACCTTTGATTGACATTTAGTCGCGTAACCGATACGGTCAATTGACCTTTGAGCTTGGATAAGTTAGTTTTTTGTCGCAGATATTTTCACTGTGAACACCTTCGTTGCTGACCTGTT